TTCAGTTCTACAGAGGGATCCTGGTGTAGTTCTAAGTACTTTTGTCCTAACTCAGTGAGGTTCTGCTTCCTTCTAGATATCAGGTCTGTTACTATGTTAATAACTAATATACCTGACTCTTTCAACTTACTATATATATCTTCCGTGCCTACACGTTTACAGTAAACGATTGCATAAATATTGCGTATATACTTTAAAAGAATCTTCTTAAGCTGGTTAGGAGTTAGTGCGTTAAAGTTATTACTACGGTGTCGACTAATAGAGTTATTAACAGCGTCGTGCCAAATAACAATGTCGGTTCGGTTTAAGAGATAGTGATCAAGTTGATACTGACAAGTTTTACGGACGTTCACTGCGTTATGGTTGAAACTTAACCCAGGAATGGCTAAGCACGATTGAGATACACGCTTTTGCGAAGCGGGGGAAAGTTTTTTCAAAGCGTGGTGCAGCGAGCTAGCAGCTAGTATGAACATTTAGTGATTTAAATCAACTTAAGAGGGAGGGAATCAAGCAAACCGCGACCTGACCTCCCGCAACACCCTGAGCTAACAAGGTTGTAGCAAAAGGTAAGACGATTTGCTTAATAATATGCTACGGATCCAATTGAACTAGTTTAGTTAGCTGCACCACGTTTCAAGAACAAACACGGCGTTTTTTCAGAAATTTTTTTTTTCGAAAATTTCGGATTTTTTCCGAAAATTTTACAAAATTTTTTTTTTTTTTTCGAATGTTTTTTCGAAAATTTTTTCCACGTTTTCACCCAACGGTTCAAGTTCCAACAATAACCTGATGCGTTTGCGAAATTTTGAATTTTTTTTTTAAAGTCCAAAACTTGGGGCAAAAAACTCGACTCGGTCGTTTATATTAAATTATTATGAAACTAGGCGCTTTGCTGAATAATTTGCATGACTTTAAAATTTTAGAAAAAAAAATCAAAAATTTTCAATTTTTTTTTTCAAAATTTTTGGTCTTTTTTTTTGATACGGTGTTGAGCTTACAAACAAGGTGTTAGGATAACGTAATTAAGATTTATGAGGCCGGTTTTTTCCTAAACCCACAGAAAATTTTTTGATCGGGTTTTGGTATCGAGAAAAATTGGGGGTTACGATTTTGCCATCAAAAAACCTCGTATTAGATTTTAAAGCATCAAATCAGCAAATGAATAAAGTTTTGGTTTTTTAGTCTTACAAGTTTTGTAGAGGCGTTCACCGGTAGAATCCAAATTCCACAGAAAACTTCGGGTGTCGAGAAAAAATGGGTGTCCACAATCCACAATCAGGATACCTGAAAAGGCCTCCCCTTCTCCTAACTGGGACGTTTCGGACAATCGGGTCTTTTCGGACAATCGGGTCGTTTCGTCCAATTGGGTCGTTTCGGCCAATTGGTCACCTTCTGACAATTTTTGGCTAATTGGACACTTCTGGCCAATTCGGCATCCTCGGGCCACTTTCGGCTATTGCACAATTTCAGCCAATTGGGTCAAGTTTGGACAAATGTCGACTAATTGGACAATTTTGGCCAATTCGGATACTTCAGGGCAACTTTCGGCTAATTGCACAATTTCGGCCAATTGGGTCGCGTTTGGACAAATATCGGATAATTGGACATTTTCGGCCAATTGGGATACTTTAGGGCAACTTTCATCTAATTGCACAATTTCGGCCAATTGCGTCGTGTTTGGACAAATTTCGGCTAATTGCACAATTTCGGCCAATTGGGTCGTGTTTGGACAAATTTCGGCTAATTGCACAATTTCGGCCAATTGGGTCGTGTTTGGACAAATTTCGGCTAATTGCACAATTTCGGCCAATTGGGTCGTGTTTGGACAATTTTCGGCTAATTGCACAATTTCGGCCAATTGGGTCGTGTTTGGACAAATTTCGGCTAATTGCACAATTTCGGCCAATTGGGTCGTGTTTGGACAATTTTCGGCTAATTGCACAATTTCGGCCACTTGGGTCGTGTTTGGACAATTTTCGGCTAATTGCACAATTTCGGGCAATTGTGTCGTGTTTCGACAAATATCGGCTAATTGGACACTTTCGGCCGATTGGGTCGTCTCTGGAAAAATTTCGGCTAATTGGTCACTTTCGGCCAATTGGGTTGTGTTTGGGCAAATTTCGGCTAATTGGTCACTTTCGGCCAATTGGCTTGTGTTTGGGCAAATTTCGGCTAATTAGTCACTTTCGGCCAATTGGGTTGTTTGGGCAATTTTCGGTTTATTGCACACTTTCGGCCAACTGGGTCGTACTGTCCGGAATATCGTCCTGAAAATCCTCTGGAATATCGTCCGGACTATCGAGTCCGGGTCGGCGGACCAAAATGTGCCGCACTCTCGTATCCTGTAAGATCTACAAAAACCTGCTTCAAAATCTGTAAATTATCGGCAACTTAACAGATAATATGAAGAGTAAGTAATATATGACAACAATCAGTTTAACATTTTCGGTTAGCATTTTAGCAATACGGTTTTCAACAATCTCAAAAATCTATAAACATTTGGATGGCAAACTGACCTTAATCGGACAAACCAGTAGTTTTCAAGGTCTTTTGTCTAAGAAAATCTAGTTTTAGCTTTTTCACTTTCGCGCCATAATGACGTCATTAATTTAAGCGCGAACATAGCCTTTGTTATTACATGGGGGTCATTCCCCCGGACGATTTTTCCGCGCGACATATACTACTAAGGACACTAGCCAAGCGTATACACACACAATTATACCCACAGAATACATTCCGGTGGGCTTGTTGTAGGTTCCAATCACACCTTAATTGTTTCCTTTGTAAAACTCGAATATTAGCCTAACCAGAGAGAACATAAACTATACGCTCCATATTCAAGTTCGAGCCCCTCAAAAAAAATTCTTTTTGTCTAGCTATTTAAATTGATTTAATAAGCGCCTTGGCCGACCTTTATTGTCAAGGTTGTGTCTGTCAAAATAAAGACCTACCAAAAGTGTGAATTTGAACACTTGCGATAAAGACTTGCGAACACTTGCAATTCTTTGAGCCACATAAAGGCTCTTATTACCGAAATTTGTTCGATTATTCAGTGATTAAACTCAAAAGTGGTATAAGCTCGGTGCAGGGCCAGGGCCTATCTCCATCTCTGATCCAAAAAAAAGTATGCAGTATCAAAAATAATTGTCGATACGCTGCTCATATCATCAATCTCTCTACTCTGTTCGACTGGTTCCTTTCTTGTCCTTTAATTTGTAGTTAATGAGCAAAAATGAAAAGTTTTTGAAAAGTAAATTATTACATAATTGTTTTCTGTGGATTCTTAAATCTTACTTCATTTGAATTTATGGACAAAGAGAGCCCAAAATTTGGCTATACCTTTTTCATTATGTATGAATTTAAGATAGCAATAGGTATTTACACTTGTTGCACCATCTTTTTCTAAATACATTCAAATGTAGTGGCTACATGAAGTTTTTCCGAACGAAAACAAAGTAGAGTCAATTTGAAAGCATGATATGTTTGTAAGCAGCTAGTCTTTGATGAATTTTTGTGAATATAAAAATTCTAAAGCTCTAAATTGGGCCAATTTGAGAAACTTAAAATTTTGATATTCACGACAACTCAACAAGGATTAGCTGCTTACAAACACTTTTAGGTTTCAAATTAACTCTGCTTTTTTTTCTGAAAGATGACTGTCAGTAGTGACTTGAATCCCAATTAAGTTATCCGGAGTTAGACTAGATGAAGAAAAGTAACCCAATATGCGTGTGTTTGTGTTTGTGTGGGTGGGTAAATAGCATGTTTTAAGCCTTCAATACAGTGCTGATTTAAATTAACTGGATAAAACGAAAAATTTAAACGCGGTGAAAAATTTAAACGCGGTTTTCAGAAATTGTTTAGACTAATAGTGAACGGGACAAAAGTTTCTTAGAATTTTACCAAAATTTTTATGAAAATCCAAACTAAAAACATTAACTGAAAAATGGGTGGTCGTTTTGCCTTTTTACAGTTAGTTAGGATTTATGATGTAACTAATGAAACAATTAAAACCAAAATTAAATTACATGAAGCAGTTTACACAGCCCAATTAATTTCTAGAAGGGTAAAAACTCTTAAAAACTGTAGAAATCTAGGAGAATATACTTTTGCTTGATACTTTTTACTATAAAAACACAAAATCTTTGTTTAAAAAACTTTTGAAAACTTTTTTGCAAAGTTTTTGATCTTTTGTTTTCCTAAGATTTTGCTCGTCTTGGATAGTGTGAGAAACTTCTTGTGATAAAATTATATAAATTAAATAACTAATTAAATAACTAACTTAATTCTCGGTTAACTAAATAAATACTAAGTTGACCGATATTTGGTGTAAATTTTGCTTGCGGCTTTCTCAGAACCAATTGAACCATGGTAGTTGTGTTGCATTTCTAAGCAACATTTGTCTTAATCAATTCTTGTCTAATCTTAACTCTATTTGAGAAGAACGAGTTTGAAGTTTCAAGTTATAACAGTTTTGTCCGGATAAGTTAAATCAGTATTGAATTATTTCAGGAATTTTTGGAACAAGTCTGCTCGTATCAGAGAAAAACCCTGAACGTTTCGACTGCTTTTCGTTTTATTAAGTTAAAATATGTAATAAAATTATCAAAAAGAATTCAAAAAACTTCGAAATTTTTTTTTCGAAAATCATCACCTACACGCTATGATAACTACAAAGTTATATGTTTAGCATGCCTCAATACAATTCGGAACAATTTCTAAGCCGGATCAAATCTTCGTTTACTCGTTATTATCGTGAAACATTTTAAGCGTTGTCTTTTACATGACAATCTTCAAACCCTCATAAGTTTACGAAAACTGATCAAAGATGAAATACTGTTGAGCTCAGGATAACAACACTTTTCGAATGATTTAAAAAAAAACTTTGTCAAAAGTAAAAAGTCGAAATTTGTCTGAAAAAAAAACACGCGGATTACAAATTTTCTGTCGTTTTTTTTCTGTTCTCAAGTTTTGGAGAAAAGACTGCTCTTGTGGCCGGTATGCTTTAATTTGCTGATATTAAACTCTTTATACACTTGAAATACACTTTTTATTCAATTTGTACATTGATTGATTGTTATATCAATTTTTTGCTCAGAATCACTATTTTTTTATATCTACATAGCAAGCCTCAATGAGTCATGTGTACTCAGATTTTTCCACGAATGATTATTTTGATAATATTTACAGCAAAAACAACAATTTCCAGGAATGTCAACACGCTCCAGCCAATCCATAAACCGACATTCCCGCCAAAGTCAGTGATGAGCTGGGTGAGAGTGTACCTGGGTTGCTCTTGAATTATCTCGAAGTTCAGGTTCTGGAAAAACACTTCGACTCTGGCAAAGTTGCTTCTCATTTTCTCAGTTAAGTCTGCGATGGATGCATTCTCATTGGATAAAGTGTCGTCCAGAAATTGTAGAATCCTTGGGGAAGTCGTGTATTTCCTCAGTCGCTGTATCAGGTAGGAGGTGTAATGTATATTGGGCCAATGAGCGCTGGATGCTTCTTTCGAGTAGAAATTGTCGTCACATGCTGGTCCACATGGGCAGACGAAGTCGTTGTTGCGATACGCTTTATTCACCGCTACTTGGCAATCTCGCGCAGCTTTATTCCACGATGAACACAATGGTACACTACCTAAACAGAACATAACAGATGAAAATCAAATAATATCTGCAAAAATGGCCCTTAGTTTTACAAGTAGATCGCAGAATATTTCGCCCAGATTATCTCATCGTAGAAATTACAGTGTAATAAAAATTGAAGCAAAAAAATAGGGGAAAAATATTGCCTTCGATTAAAAACTAATTGTTTTTTGAAACCGTAGCAACAGTCCGCTATCCAGTCACCGATATCCGCTGGCAAATCAAACTTTAGATTAACTAAGCAAACACCGCTATGGCTGGCTAAAACATCAAAGTAGTGGCAGCCCATTAACCTCTCAGGACCTTAGGGCAGGGTCATGAGAGAAAAACGAACAGTCTTGACTTAATCAACCATTTGCTTCAGTACCGCAGATATAAACATCATTTTCAAGCGCAACCATTGATTTTCTGCATACTGGTTTTAGTTAAATTATTAAATCAAATGCCAACTAATGACAGCTAGACCGAAATGTACAACAATTTTTATGTGTTTTAATTTAGTTTATCAGATGGGGGACGGTGGTAGAAGAGCCCACATGTTAAAACAATACCGTAGTAGTTAGTGACACATCCACATCTGCGGTACTTCTCAGCTTCAATGCAGTAGTTCTCACACGCTCTCTGGTCATACCTGGGCCACTGGTTGGTGAAGTCTGTGTCCAGGGCCACGAAGTTAGGCCATACTTTCAGGCACTCCCCATACCTTAACACATTACACCCTAACCATCCGCGAACGTATAAATTTCTTTCACTTTGTCATTTATGATAATCATTGTTGCCTCACAATCTTCTAGGTTGAGTATTTGTAGGAAACAAACTGAGGCTTAACGAACACCTGGTCGAGGTACTCACTTTGTTTTGGCCGTAATTTGGTTTAACCATACCTTCTCATTGAACTCGTGTTCTTTCGACTTTCCCGACAAAAAAAGTGCTCGATTTTGTGCGGCCTGATCCAGATATAAAATTATTCACGCTGTTCAAAAAAAATCAAATTTACAAAAATGTGTTCGATTTGTTTGATCGGAGTAAGATGTAATGTTTTCAGGGGGGCTCAAAAAATTTTTGATTTTAAAAATGCTCTCGATTTTACTCAACTCAACTGCAATGTGAAATTTTTGACCCTGCTCAAACAAATCACGGTTACAAGAAAGAATGCGCTCGATTTTGATTGACCCGACCCAGATATGAACATTTTGACCCTGCTCAAACAAAACCGATTATATGATGTGCAGTCAACATTGTTGGACCCAATCTAGATGCAAAATAATCGACAGTTTTTAAAAAACCTCGGTTAGAAAAAAAGCGTTCGATTCAGTTCGAACACACCCGGATGTAACTTTTTTGACCGTGCTCAAACAAATTTCGATTATAAAAATTGTGCTCTGTTTAGTTCAACTCGATTCAGATGTGAAATGTTTGACCACGTTCAAAAAATTTTCGATTTTAAAAAAGTGCGATTTCACGTTCGAAGAAGTTTCGATTGAAAAAATGAGCTCGATTTTGCCTAACTCGACCAACATGTGAAAATGTTGAGCATGCTCAAACAAATATCAGTTATAGAAAATGCTCTCGATTTGTTTGACCCGATTCAAATGTGAAGTTTTCAAACCGGCTCAAATAAGTTTACCGACCAAATAACCGACCAAAAAAATTTTAAAAAATTGAACATAGTAAAAAATGAATTTTGAAACAAGCAGCTTAATTGAGGCACCTAGGGATTACGGTAGCAAAAAAAAATAATGTAAGATTTTTTAAATCGTTTTTTTCTGATCTTTATACTTTAGCAAGTTAATTTATACAAAGCAATCAATTTCCCTCAAAAGCTGGACAATTTACAGTGCGTGCCTACAAAAAACCACAGGTTGTTTTCTTTTCGATGCTTACCCTGTCTTAGTTAGAAACAGCTCCATGAATAACATAATAAATTGCATAAATGGTGCTTTGACAAACTACTGTACCAATTTATAGCTTCTTGAAACTTACAGCTTTCTGAAAACTTTTGTTGAATTTAGATTTATAGGTATTCAATCTTCAACCAGCTACAGTTACGGGACATACAAATGGGAACTTTTTAATTCCAATCACCAATTAAACATTTTTTTTCTCATTTTGCCGTTTTCTATCCAACTATTTAAATTATAACGTTCAAAATTTTGGAAATGCTACTTGGAAGGACTTAGCCGGGCCAAGTTTTGATAAGTTTTCAACTGAAGTCATAAACAAGCCAGTGTCCCATAACTAATTTTAGCGGTGTTTGTGCTGCGCAATTTCTTCGCAAACAGGAATGTGAATTACTGGGCTCAAATTAGTTCTTTGCAAAGCTGATAAGATAGTTCTGACTTACACCGCCTAAAAACGACAGATAACAGAATTGAAAAAGTTTTTTGGCCCGCCGTTGAAGAAGATCAAATCTGCTATCCTGTAAAATAATAATTATTGGAAGCTTATACTGAAAAACTTGGACAAAATTTGCACACAACATAGCTGCTGATGAGAATTCTGTGCATGGGTTACAGCAGTACTTTTTCCGATTTAATTGCTGGAATAGTTTTCTTGTCGACTTGTTTATAGTCAGCGTGAAACTATTCTTAAATTTCAGCCGTTTTTCGGCGCCGGGTGACGTGTATTTTTCGTGTTAGTTATCTGTCGTTTTAAGACGGCTTAAAGTGCAGTTCAAGCTGATCAGCTTCCTAAACAAGTTATTCAAGCCCAATAAGTCACATTTCTTAAATTGTGTGCAAAGATGTTTCCACAACAATAATTCTTTTAAAACTAGCATTTGTCAAACTTTGAACTTCTTAAATAGTTGCAGAGAAAACGCCAAAAACTTTTCAGAAAAAGGTCCTTTCGTTGAAATAAAAAAATTGTAACTTCTATGTCCCCTGACTATAGCGCTATCACCTTTCTTCCTTATTTTCCTTCCTTTCAACCAAAAAATATGATGATTGACATTTTTTCATGTACGAGCAAACTAGATCGTTTAATATTTGGATTGCAAAACAGTTTTTGAAATGTTTGCTTTATTTTTGAGCGCTCGGACCTAGTGAATAAGTGTTTGTAACATCTTTGTTACCTGTCGGGTGTAGTTTTTACCTCATCTGAAAACAAAAGCAACAATGGAGTCAGTTTATCTCAGCCCAAAGAAACTAAACAAATCAATTCTTTCAGCTCCCCGGTTTTTATTCTGTGAAAATCTACACAATTATGTGCAAAGTTGCTGTTTTCCCAACTTTTGAACATATTCACTGAATATTTGAGCTTGGGTTGATTTTTTATCCTGAAAAACTGAGTTTTTTAACAAGCCAATTTTGATGCATTTTTATGCCATCTGAAAAAATAACAGCGTATTGAGCTCAAAATGAAACAAGACTGCTCGTATCAGGGCGAAGCCCTGAATGTTCCAACTGCCTTTTAAAAATTATGGAGCAGTAATAAAATTTAAAAATTAGAAGTACTAAAAAAAATTCTACTAGAATATTTCTTCTAAAATTTGAATTTTCTTAATGAAAATCATCCCCCAGACGCCATATAAATTTCAAAAGGATAGATTTAGCTCCTTGTAACCAATCAATTATAGCAAAATAAGCTTCTTTCAACCAATTTGGAACAATTTCTAAGCCGGATTAACTCTCCGCTTACGCGTTAATAGCGCAAAATATATGGCGGGTCAATTGACCCAAATTGGCCAAAATGGCAATCTTAAAAACCGCATAACTGCGCGAAAAATAATCACAGGTAAAATATCTTTTCAAATTTGAGCTCTGGGCAACAATACTTTTTGAATGATACAAGAAAATTCCCGCCAAAAGGCTAGTTAAAAAGTCGAAATTCGTCAGAATAAAAAAAACCCACATCGTCGGAACAAAAATAAATCATCTTCGACATCGTTTTTACAAAGTTATGTTCTTTTAGTTTGTGGCAACCATTGCCAAGGTTAAATTGAGGTAATTAGCTAGTGATATCTTTCGGTAATGTAAAATATATCTCCTAATTCATACTAACCATAATGAAATGAGGCGAGCGATTCAGTCGTATTATTGCTACAACAACCAAAATTACGTCCTTCGTTCTTTAGATGACGCTTAATGGTATAAATTAAAGAAAAAAGATGACAAAATCTAGTTTTAAATTTGAGTTTTTTTTCCTTTTTTTTACAAACTTTTTGGATCAACCATACAATCCCCCCTTGTAACCTACCTTAGAATGTAATGTCTCCCCAAGCAGGTATTATTTCTGAAGTTTAACTTTACATAAAATATTCATTTCAAAGAAGCGCACTAAATATACTGCCAGATTTTTTTTTACCGAATAGCTATTTTATCCTGTTGATAGCGTAAAATAGCAATCATACTTTGATATCAATTGAGTTTTTAACTTATTAGATCAATTTAAATTGCCCTTGAAGCCGGTGTTTTCTGAAAAACCGGTGTTTTTTTTCAACCTAAATCGGTTTGGGGTGGGTTGTACGGTTGGTTCAAACTTTTTTTAAAAAAGTTTAGAAACCATTCGGGACGTTGCCTTGATTCGAGAAATCTTGCTGTTCCAATATTCGAAAAAAACGAATGCATGGGCCGAATATTAATGCATGGGCCGGTTTTTTTTGTTCAGATAATTTTCGACTTTCTAAACAAGCAATTTGGACAAACGATTCTTTCATTAAACTTGAAGAGCTTATATATAAAAAAACTTTTGTACGTATTTTCTTATCTCAAAAATATTGGTATATGGAGCTCAAATTGTTTAAAAAAACATCACTTGTGATCCTTTTCAATGAATTTATAGTAATTTTTTGATAAGTTGGCGGAATTGAGAGAAGTAGCGCCGATATTTTGCTGACAACACGTGTGGCGGCAGAATAATGTGTTCTAAATAGAATAGAGGCAAATCATTTGGTCGTCTTAGGGGGCGGACGCTAAATTCATCCTTTGCAGTTCATATTAGTGTGTCTATTACTCTATTATCTTGACAATTTTCAATCAAAAAACATTTAAAAGGCCTTCGGAACATTCAGGGCGTCGCCCTGATATACTAGCAGTCTTTTTGTTCCAACTTTCGATACGAAAGTAACGGAATATTTGTGCTCGGGGTGGGTTTTTTTTTTCTTCAGACAAATTTCGACTTTTTAACTACCCATTTTTGACGGAAGTTTTTTATATCATTCAAAAGGTATTGTTGTCCTGAGCTTAAATTTGAAAAGATATTTCACCAGTGATCATTTTTCGTAAAGTTATGGGGGTTTAAAGATAGGCATTTTGGTCAATTTGGCACAATTAACGCGCGATATATTTCGCGCTATTAACGCGTAAGCGGAGATTTAATCCGTTCTAGAAATCGTTCCATATTGGTTGAAATAAGCTTATTCGTCATAATTGATTGTTACTAGCAGCAAAACCTATTCTTTTGTACTTTATCTGGCGCGTGGGGGGATGATTTTCATAGAAAACTTCAAATTTCAGAAAAAAAAATTTAATTTTGTTTTATTACATTCATTATTTTGTGTTATTACTGCTCCATAAACCATAAAAGGCTGTCTGAACATTCAAGGCTTCGCCCTGATATGAGCAGTCTTGTTGATCTTTGTTATCGATTTGTATACATCTTTGCAACCTATAAAAAATTTGAGCAATTCCAGTTACTTATCAATTGACGACCAGCCCTGAAACTTTTCCTGGAGTTGAAGTTGGTCAGATCTCGTGAAGTTAATGGATTGGTCATAAAGATTCTTTTTGTTAACATACGTGGTCATAAGGATGAATTAGCTCAAAAACTTTTTATCAATACCATATCATGATATACAGAGAGCTTGTTCAAAATCATTGTTCAAGTATAATTTCTAGCTGTTTTTTTTTCGCTTACATTTTCCACCGTTCGTTTACGTGGGTCGAAATTGTGATTGAATGATTCAGAGGAAAAAGAAAGAAAATTTTTCTGACTGATGGAAAGTCTGTATTGTCTGAGAAGCATAAACCACCAAAAACATATGCTCTAAAGGAGGACCATTTGCAACAAGTCGAGCAAAAATTCGAAATTTTGGTTTTCCAGACATGTCTAGATCAACAAAGTGTAACCACCCGAAAAAAACTTGCCGAGCTGTCTTGTATTTGAGGCTAGAACTTACATGCTTTAGTAACCTGAGCGTAAGATTGATTCGTCATTAAGCTAAGTAGCAGAGTAAACAATTGGTTAAGTTCCAATATAACAGAGACTAAGCAGGATTTTAAAACGGTACCGATTTTGCAAACCACCCCCCCCCCCCCCAATAGAAACTACCGGGCTAGCTTTATGAAACTAATAGGACGGATACTAGAGATAATTTGACCCTGGCATGCAAAAATCCAGACCCTTCGGACCCCCCGACCCCAAGTGATGACGATCCCCGGAAGTGTAAATGACCCTCTCATAAGTCGGAAACTAGCGGCGGAGAAATCAAGGATGAATTAGTGGTGAAGACGAAACAACCTCCATAAAGTTGAGAGTAAACAACAGCAGAGCCTTGACTCTTTTCATCATGGTGCATACTAAATCTCCACCCGGGCAGATATTGTATGAGCATGCACTGTCTCAGTAGCGTGCAGATCGGCGGCGGGAGCTACTCACACAGTGCATACTCATACACTATCTGGTTGCCAAATTCTGGATGTCATTTTTTCCCCAATTTTCCCCCTTTTGGTATAATTTTACGAGATCCATTTTTGGCTGACCAACATCCAAAAATTGTCTAGATGCGCTTTGGGCGCCAATATACCAACTTTGAGGGGGGGGGGGGGGGGTGCGAGCGCCGAAAAAACGCATTTTTTTGGTCAAATGTTTTTTAAAAGTGCTCAAAACGTCGTTTTTATCTTGTTTTTTTTTGGAGCAGAAACCTTTTTACAAAATAGGGTCCCTATTTTCGAAGAGCTCGGAAAAACAAATTGGTCGACCTAAAAAAAGGTCGATAAATTTTCCAAGTATAAATGCACAGCACTGTATAATTGAAGTAATTCGGAAACATGTTATATTTAACGCGATATTTTAATCAAATCTTTGTATGAACTAACTTGCCCCCTTTGCGGGTAATGACTTTCTGTTTGACGGATATCACTGTGGCAGCACCTGCAGGCGTCACCCATGAGTCAGAGTCAGGCATGGGGGGAATGTAGGGGGCATTTACCAACACCTGGACAAAGTCTGACAGATAACATGGATAATTTCAAGGTAAAATAGAATGGTCATTGCTGCAATCGACTACTGGAACAGTTTCGGACAGTCATGAGAATAGCACTTACATGAACGCCTGAGCTCTGGCTTAAAACGCCAATATACTCGTCTTTGTCCAAGAACAGTGTCAGCTTCAAGCCGAATTTCTTGCCAGTTTTTGATGTGTTTCTCAGCGTCGAATAAAGTCCGCTTTCAAATGAACTGTTGAATACAGAGTTGAACGCATAGCAGTTTCCGTACTCCGGATTTTGGAACTGCTGGAAGTTTTCACCATTGCAGACCCGGCCATCAAAAGTACACTGGGCGATAAAATCATTTGCTTGAGTTCCGAAGAAGCGAACTTCTTCATTCGAAAATAGAGCAAATGGTCGAAGGTCGGAATAATCCAGAGCTTCTGAGAGCTCGTAGGCTTTGGGCCAGTTGTACTCAGAGAGATCATCATTGTCAAAGTTAGCATAAGGGTCAAAGGAATCGTACCAGGAATTGTAGTTATCCCAGAAATTAGAGTCGTAAGTAGTTGAACCGTAATAATTGCCGCCAGTTTCACTACCCCAAGTGTAGGTAGAGCCGCCACCGTACGGGTAGCTATATCCGTAGCTACCGGAACGACGCTCGCGTCCTAGCTCTTTCTCATCGTCCTGCACTGGATATAGTGGTAGATTGAAAACAACCCCCTCTGCTGGGGGATTGTTAGATTCCGAGTCTGAGGGAGGTCACGTCTAGCTCGAGCTGAGGGAGTAACCGATTTGTAGCTTATCTTAAACCCAATATCCTGCACGGAATTATCCGTATGGAAAAGGACCAGCATGTATTGACCCGTTGACTGAATTGGATTGGGGGGCGCCGTATAACCACAGAGTTTGCTTCGCGAACTGAAGAAGAAGGCTGGTGATGACTCAGTGGCTCCGTTTCGAATCTGCAAATAGTCGTATGAGCAGTAGCCGTCGTTGCTCGCCTCTACACCAAAGTTGTTATCGAACGTCAACTCCACGATCTCCGATGCACCTGAGTACAAACCAGCATGAAGCGAAGTTTGAGTACAATTGAAGCATGTCTTGACTGGCGGAAAACTTTAAAAAACATTGCTGGCATATTCTAAAAATCTTGAATCAGAGCAGTAGAAAGTTGATAAGGGACAAGATATAGAGCTACCACCGTCTCTCAATCCTGTTTGACAAAATTTCCCCAAAGGTTCTCACCATGGACACTTCTTTTTTTTACGACAATATCTCTGGTCAGCCAACTCAAAAAAAGGCACAATTTTTAGAAAAGGGACGCGCACCCTTACTGGAACCAGATCCAAACTAGATTTTATTATTGGTTTTTATTTAGATGTTTTATCCCTATAAAATATTGGATACTAAACAATCATACTCCATCAAACTAACAACCCACTTATTTGTAAGTGCTCAAACTACTTTTATTTCAGCACCAGAGAGATTTGAATTTAACTTAGAACTTAGTTGCCTTTCCAAGTGACCGACTCGTAACAAAACCAGTATACTCTAGATCTATTGAGATTAAGAGATATAAGAGTAAGATTAAGATCGGTATTAGACTAAGAAGTTGCACGAATCTATCCGGCCGAAGATAAGATGGCGTGACGAGCAGACGGTGTACCATATCTGAAATTACTATATGAGTTCTGAACATCTGAAATAACTCATTAGTTTATAAAGAAGATTGAATACGAACGTTCTTTCAAAATCCGACTGCGCCGCAGATTTTTAGTGAATTTTAGGTCTTTTTATGATTTTAAAAGTATTATAAGCAAGGGCGGACATAGGGAATAAAGCGGGGGAGGGGGGGGGGGGGTAAGAAACGTTCTTTGCAGAAGTTTGACACCCCAACCATTTAATGGGTCCTCCAACCAAGTCAAATTTTTAAGAGGCGTCTTGAATTTTTTTGACAAGTTTTCGAAAAACTGCCCAGAAATGCTAGCTAATTTTCTCAGTTTTTGAAAAATTGTTCTCTTGCAAAAATCTTAGATTAGCTCTACTCATTAGATGCACTTTCGTGGTTTCAGAATAATCTTCCGCTTTAAAATCTTGTAGGTGGTCTTGAATGTTATTTAAATTTACTTTGTGCGGTAATGATCCAAATACAGTGGCTGCCGGCTGGGTAACTCCCACCACTCAAGTAGTTCTGAGAAGCGAAAGTCTGGTCTGACCCGGTGGCCGTCAAGTCCCCACCACAAGTGTCGTACTGGGTGCAATTTAGCTGCTCCGACTCGTCGAACCCATCGGCACAATCTGTGTTGTTATCGCATGGGACTCCACAGGTGGGATCTGATCCGCACTTAACGAGACCTATGTTGCAGTAGCCATCGGGGTTGAACTGCTCGTAGGTGGCAGTTGGCGAGTAAGTGGCACAGTCATAAGGACCTCGAACAGATAAGAATAAACGCGTTGTCAGCCTTTATTTCACCAATCAAAAGATAGATATATGATTGCTTTAAATCAATTGCTTCTATGAAAAAATATGTTGATAACTTATTGATAAATGAGTTTGCTATGGTGGAAAAAGTCTTATTTCACTGAAATCTGAACTTTTTATGGTAATCTATTATGATGATAACAAACACTAATAAACGTTTTCCAAAAAATATTGGCCAAAAACATGTGAGTTGGTTTCTAACAAATTTCGAAAGCTAAATGCACTTAAAATGGCTACATGTTGAATGGTTTTTTTTGAACTATACTAGCAGGACTCTTTTTAGCAACCGCTGTGTGGAAAAAAGATGTACACAATTTCTACCATTAGGTGTAGTTAGTTTTAATTCCCTGTTTTACAAATCACATCCAAATAAAATGTAGGGCTGAACGATTTGCAAAACTCAGCAATGTTGCATTCTAGGAGCTTCAACATATTCCTTTTCTCGAGTTAAACCTTTTTCATTAAAAAATTACAAACTTCGTTTCACTTGTAATCGATCCCAAGCCATGGCAAGGATAATGTGTGAGAACGAGCTCTCACTTGACCTCTAGCTTCAGGTGTACCACAACCTGACCAAATTTGGATGCAATAGTGGTACCACAAAAACGGCCTTGAGTCGCAAAAAAGAGCTTCGCTCAACAAAATAACACAGACTATCCTTGACAGGACTGTTAAAGGCCTACTGATAGATCCACTGCGATTCGCAGGAACTTGAAAACAGTTCCTACATTACATTTGGGCAGTTTTGGGTTTCAAAACTGCTGTTTTTTCGCTGATAAACATTCCAAATATGGGCACCGAGAACTGATAGACCATAAAAGAGCTCGTAAAAAATATATTAAGAATCATAACAGAAAAGGCATTCAGACTTCAAAAAACTCTATCTTATATAAAAACAAAAAGACCATAAAAGAGCTCGTAAAATATATCCTATTATCCATAACAGGAGAAGTATTCAGACTCAAAAAACTCTGATTTATGACAAAACAAATAGATGACAGTTTTATGACAGAACAAATAGACCATAAAAAACTCGTCAAATGGGTAATACAAATCATAACAGAAGAGGTATTCAGACTTCAAAAGAGGATTTAAACCTTCCAAATATGGGCACCGAGAACTGATAGACCATAAAAAAGCTCGTAAAAATATAATAAAATTCATAAAAGAAGAAGCATTCAGACTTCAAAAAACTCTGTCTTATGTAAGAACAAATAGAACATAAAAGAGCTCGTAAAATATATCCTATTATCCATAACAGGAGAAGTATTCAGACTCAAAAAACGCTGTTTTATGACAGAACAAATAGATGACAGTTTTATGACAGAACAAATAGACCATAAAGAACTCGTCAAATGTGCAATACAAATCATAACAGAAGAGGTATTCAGACTTCAAAAGATGATTTAAACCTTCCAAATATGGGCACCGAGAACTGATAGACCATAAAAGAGCTCGTAAAAAATATATTAAGAATCATAACAGAAAAGGCATTCAGACTTCAAAAAACTCTGTCTTATGTAAGAACAAATAGAACAAAAAAGAGCTCGTAAACTATATCATATAAATCATAACAGAAGAGGTATTCAGACTTAGAAAAACTCAAATAAGAGTGGTAAAAGTTTTCAATAACCTCAAACCCCCTTTGAAGTATATTTTTGTAAACATCTCAAATGAATGATTCCTAAAATTTCTTAGTCACTTCGTGTCGCCCACTTTTCGCTAATTGAAATAAAATGAATTTCAAAAAAAAATCAGGAAATGATTAGAGGTGTACCAGAGAATGATAATTTTTTGACTTAGCTGCAAAAATGTGCAAAAAATTTGTGATATAAAAAAGTCAAACATTGTCTAGGGTAGACGGACCTCAGTCTTACTTTAACCAATAGGGGCCATTACAGAAAATATACAAATATCAGCTTGTTACTAGTGAAGTAGGGATGGGGGATGGGGTGAGTTTGATTGGAACTATCGGTCCTAAACTTGAACAAGGATAGCCGACTTTTCAAATTAGTGTAGTTTCTTCGGTGAGGTGTGATAAAAAGGATCTGAACTAAAAAGTAGACCTTAGGCATATTCGACTGTCATAGTTAACTGCGCAAATTGGAAAACAGTTTTTTAGAAAAATGACTTGAAAAACAAGAAAAAATTCAAAAAGTTTTTCATTTTTATTGCTGTTTTTTTTTAAATCTTTGTGGCTTTTAATTCCAAAAAAGCGCAAAAATCCTCAAAATTAAACTAATTTTACTCGGGTAAAGCAAAATTTGTACGGCCTAAATTAGGCTATTATAAGCAATTAAGCCATTAAAATAAGCTATTGTAAGCCTGCTCTCTCGCTTTATTCGCTCGCATTAAGATAAAAAATCAAAAATTTCAAACGGTTTTTCTCAACACGGGTAATTTTTTTATAATTTTTTAATTTCGTTTGGATCACAACTGAAAAGACTTTAGGACGATAAATCACTCAATTCTCTCCGATGATCATTTGTGGTAGCTGATTTTGCGGGGAAATAAAAAAAGAAAAAAGAAAAAACTAAAACAAACCAGAATACAAAGTTCTTCCCCACTTTTTAAATATTTGAAACAACAAAAAATAAAAAAAAGAGTGGCATAGATTTGAGAGCTTTACTTGCAGTGGTGTTGCCTTCATCCCATCCGTCGCTACAGTCTGTGTAATCATCACATATCCACTCAGTGGGGATACATACCTGAAAATGGAGCTCGAAAAGATTAAAGAGTAGTTTTTGTTGTGAATTTAGATACAAGGAAAACAATATCCACAATGAACCACAAGCGACTTCTTTGGCTAATCGCGGAGAACGCTGTTGTGTCCCTAGTAAGATATAAATGATTTTTAGGCTGTTTTTTGGAATTGGTAGTGCTGCTTCCAGCACAAATCATGAGCGGCGTCGAACATCTAACCACTTTACCACCGCTCCCCTAAACCAGGACGGAAGTTCGAGAGCATGACTCTAATTACTCGAAACTTCCAAAAAAAGTGACGTATAATTTTTGCATGCGAATTTTTGTTTATCGTTTTCAAACCAATACTAATTCTTTTACCTAAAAAGGAAATTAGATCTTTCGAGGTGGGCAGGTAGTTACCGCTTTAATTCGAGAGCGCCAAATTTCAAAGAAAATTAGGTTAGATAAAGTTTTGGTTGCGAACCATTTTTCTCAAAGTAAGATGAGGGTTAGTGTATACATGTTACAAGTTATAAGTTTACAAGCAATAGCAACAGTTTAGGTAAGGAAACATCTTTAAAAATATGTATAACTTTTATAAAATAAAACTGCCTATTGCTTCAAACCATATTTCTCCATGAAATAGTTCTTCATAGAATCTTATCAAAATTTTTTAAAATGATCTGCCTAACACTTTTTGTCAATTTAAAAAATCCAATTGAAAAATCCATTGTTACATTTTTGTTTCCAATTTTCTCTTGTAAGAAAATTGTGTTGGATAATCAAATAAAATTGAACATAATCTGTATATAATATGTATGAATTGAAAATATCACAAAAAAGTGGAAAATATTGATTTAAATCAATTAAAGATTTTTTTTTTTGCTAGAAAAATTAATTTGTAATTGAAATCAAAAAATGACTAAACGTCGACATAAATCGATTCAGATTCGATTGAAATTGATTTTTTAAGCAACATTTTGTATGAAACTTAATTGATTTTGAATTGCTCTAAAAATTGATTTTTTATAGTTTTTTGTTTATTTTATTTGTATAAAATAGATTGCAACTAATTGATATAGGTGCGCGATAGCATTGATCAATTTGATGACTAACGGAGTCAGGACATTGCACCTGTCCCTCAGTACAGGATACACTAAAACTCGTTCCCATATCAGCCGCAGCAGTGGAGTACATGGTGCTCGTCACAAAAGCGTCCAGATTCCCAAGTCCCTGGTACTTTGTGATCTTGGAAATGATACTCTTCCGAACGGGGTTCGTGTTGCAAACAACCACACTCGGAAAAGTTGCCTCAGTTTTCCTCATGATCGAAATTTGGGTGTCGACTTCGAACTCGAGGTAACTTGTGACAAGAGTTGACATTTGAAAAATGAAAACTGTAGTCAAACCGACGTAGGCCAGCACCCAGAATAGAACCCAAAACACATTCTGGGATCCAATAACCTCTGGAATGAGGGCATCTCCTGAATTGCCGAGAGCAGTTTTGAAATGAGTCCATCTGGACTCCTTGGAGTCGGCTACTTTAGCCAATTTCTGTGGCAAAACTCCAAGGGCATCATGGGACGAGCTGACCTCGGTTCTCGTGAAGTTGTCGAACTTTGTTTCGGTAACAAACCATAATCAGTTGGTTGTCCCGGTTCAACGGACGAGCTGACCTCGGTTCTCGTGAAGTTGTCGAACTTTGTTTCGGTAACGAACCCATAATCAGTTGGTTGTCCCGGTTCAACACTTTCCGCCATGCGTGAGAAACATCAAAAGTTTACACAAGAAGACAAAAACTACTTGATAAACTTGGTCCAGTAATCAAAATATTAGTAATAAAAGAAAAGATATACTCAAAGCCAATTGAGATCGATAAATACACGTCAGTTTATAACTGAGACTACTGAAGTAATATCTCAGAGTGACGCTATTCCAATCGCAAAAGAATTTTTCTAATGACTAAACATCACATGCGGGTGTGAATGACACTGGTATACAACACCAGTAATTATTGTCGCGAAGGTATATTGATCAAAGTAGCCAGACAGAATGACCATTTTTGGCAAGCAATTTTAATATAAATCTTCCATATAAAGCTTCAATTTTGAATACGAATTTTTATATGAATCTTCTAGCCCCTTTATGTTTGTTTTGTCAAATTAAATTGGAAGCAAGAGTGCTTGTAAATCAGGGCGAAGCCCCGAATTTTCCGACTGCACGTCAAATTCAATTATTTATTTTGGTTGAAAAGTTGGAGGAAGGAAAAGAAATATTATTTGCTAACACTCTAACATTAACTGCATAGGGATGTATTATAGCCTGTCCTAATAATCAGACCAAATTATTTTCCTCTGAGTTTGAAAGGTTTTCGAAATTTTGAGTAAAAATTTTGAAGCCCCTGAAAAAATGGGGTCCTGTCTAGGAAATCGACGCATCAAACCAAAATTCGACGTTAGTGGTTGAAACGTGTTTAATCGGGTGACAAATAGGGAACTTCGTACGAATAATGCATTGAAACTAAGGAAAAGCAGTTTTAACGAACTCGTGTCACCAAAGCACCCATAACTCCTCAAGCTCAATGCGTCTTTAAAAAAAGATCAAAATTAGGTAGAACTTCTGTCAAAATTGCTCAGTAAAAAAGTCAAAAAAACCCAGCCCAAGCATAAAAAATCTGTTTCCTTCGAAAGTTGGAACAAAAAATCTTCAAACCATTTTTAATCAACTCTAAAATTAATTCAGTAAATAAACTGTACCAGAAGCAAGGAATTTTCCAACAAATTTATTTTGGAATAAAAGTTTGAAAATAAAGAAAGAACAATGGAACATAAAATGATCCTGCAAATTTTGATGTTCAAATTAATTTGGGCGAAAGCAGCAAGAATCACAGAAACTATAATTTTAAAAAAGTTTACTTTGGCGCTTGATCTCTGGTAGAATTGTAATTGAGATGTCAGCCTTTCGGTCAGTTTAGTCTAATTTAGCTGAATAACAAAAGTTTGATTTTTTTGACATCGAGATCAGTTTTGTAATTCTTTAGAATCTGATTTGAAACTTTTGGGGCTTTTATTCTTAATATTGACCCATTCTTAAGCTTGAGACTCATATTTTATCAGTTTTCTTTAAGCAAAAACTATTAGAGACCAATTTATGGACCTTCGGAACAATTTATGGACAGTCGGTTTTTGCCTTGTTACTAGCAGTCTTGAATTCATACCCTTACTGACAAAAACGGTTTCAGGTTGTTTGAATTGATTTTAAATCAATTTTAAATTCCTCCAAATCAATTAAAAACTTACACTTAAAGAACTGGAATAGATTTTAAATTGAATTAATTGACCTTTCTTGTCTACAAATCAATTTAAAATGATTTGGATGAATTTTCGGGCTCATTAAATTGCCCTTGAACCCATATGAATTTTACTATAATCCATTTAAATGCATTTCAAAAGACCATGAGCAGATCAATTTAAATATCTAAGAATACTTTTCAAGTCGATTCAAATAAATTTTTTGCTTACTCGGCGAAAAAACCTGCAAATTAATTAAAGCGCGATTTTTAAAACAAAATAAAAAAAAGAATCATAATAAAATCATAAAAATTATAAAAAATCGATTGAAAAAAATGACCAAAAAGATAAAAAACAATTCAAGACTTAGTAAAATGATTTAAACCAATTTAAAATTGATTGGGATCAATTTTCTGGCTGGGGTTTGGAATCATTTTGAATCGATTTAAAATCAATCCAAA